CTTTTATTCTTAAAGTAGTTCTATATAAGCATAATAACTACTAAGGGGGCTGAAGTCAGCTGGCTGTCATTTCAACTAGAATTCTGCACAGGTTGGGCCCAGACTAAAAAAAGCGCGCCAACGTGATCCACAAGCTGGTCACCTTACCTTTTTACTTAGCCGCATTCTGTACAAAAACCAATGCGAGTGGTTCCCCCGCATTTCCCCGCAGGAGACGTGCTTTTCACCAAGCGGCCAGAAGACACCACGAAGAGCGAAGAGAGGGCGGTGAATAAATCAGGCGGCTGGGAGTGCTTTCTCTAACAAACCGGGCTGAGGCTTGACTCAAGGACCCTGGGCTAGCGGCTCCGGCGCCCATGCCGCCTCTTGCATCGTCGTACAGGATTGATTAATTGCCTTTTGAATTGCGCAATAACATGTTTGTCACCTGAAAAGTCCTTCGGTAACGCCCGCAGCGCCATCGTTGTCGATACCGCCACTGATAGTGCCATGTGCCCCCAGGCATGTGCCCTGTTTGTGTTGCCCAGGCTGTTATTTTAGCGTCGCGTCTATCAATTGCTGACAGACTTCCTCACTTTGATAGACGTAAGACGTGAGGGACACGGTGACTTTCCAGAACTCGTTAACGGAGGCCGCCAGATCCCTGATTCAACCTACGAACCCCTCACGAACCACCTTCACGTGTCGCTGTTGGTCCTACCGCGAAAATGGGCAAGTGACCAAAATACAGCGCCAAGTCCAACGCTATCTGCATTTTGCCAAGCCGTCAGCAACCAGTTATCTACCTCTCTCACTATTGCCTGGTGTCGAGGACGAGCTAGATCATCTTAGACCACTCGCCCTCGCATCCTCTATGTCAACGTCTGTACCGACTGGCTGGAACCAATTAGTCGACGGCGCTGTTTCTTGTTCATAAAGGAAGCTGCCCGCCGATCCTCCTCTGGTGTTACCACTCAGCAGAAAGGTTGCACAACTTTCGCGACATTGAGGCACGGCCTTGTGATCCCGATTGGCTTCCGGTACAAAGAATCCGTCGTCCTCCCCGAAAGCCCGCGCTGAACGTCCTGATCATTGTTTCATCCGCAACCTGAACAAGGACAGTGGTGCCGAAGCCAACCATCATGTCGTCCGTGACCTCGCTGTTGTCGGCGACGGCAACTTCGGCGGCTGCTCCGACGTCCACCGGCGGAAATAGAGCTGCTCCTCAGGGTGGTGTCATCGAAGGCGCGAACCCTTCGGTGTACAATCCGAAGGATCCCATCACAATGTTCATCATTCAGGTAGGTGGACTAGCTCTTCAGACCCGCCAGTTTATTCGAAAGTATGCTTGGACGTCTGACTGACTGTCGCTCTGTGCAGGCTGGGTTGATCATCATTGTCTGCCATCTCCTTCATTGGCCACTCTCCAAGATCCGACAACCTCGAGTCATCGCCGAGGTCATTGGTGGCATTGTTCTCGGTCCATCGGTCATGGGCCGCATCCCCGGCTTCCGCAACGCCATCTTTCCAACCGAGTCAATCCCAAACCTCACCCTCGTTGCCAATGTCGGACTGGTGCTCTACCTCTTTCTCATCGGCCTTGAAACGGATGTTCGCTTCCTAGTCAGCAATTGGCGGATTGCCACCTCGGTCGCGTTCGCTGGGTTGGCCCTCCCGTTCGCTCTAGGTTGCGCTCTCGCATGGGGCCTGTATAACCAATTCTCCGGGGATGAGGGCCTCGTCCACATCAATTTTAGTGTGTACATGTTGTTTATTGGCGTTGCAATCGCCATCACGGTATTCCGGCTCCATTCCATGGGCAAAACCCAACTTGAATCTGACTCAAGCTCACGCGCCGAATCTAGGCCTTCCCCGTTTTGTGTCGAATCCTGACGGAGCTGAAGCTTCTTGATACGAAGGTTGGCGTCATTGTGCTTTCGGCTGGCGTAGCCAATGATGTAGTTGGTACGTTGTCCCGGCATTCACTACTTGGTGTGAACACTTGATCTAACCTGCCCGATTTAAAGGTTGGATCTTGCTTGCTCTCTGTGTCGCTCTCGCCAACGCAGGCACTGGTCTATCTGCTTTGTGGATTCTGTTGGCGTGCATCGGCTACATGCTCTTTCTGCTATTTGCCGTCAAGCCCACCATCACATGGCTTTTGCGTCGATCGGGTAATATTGAAAATGGGCCTTCCCAGGGCATGATCTCGCTCATTTTGTTGATCGCACTTACTTCGGCATTCTTCACGGGCATCATTGGTGTTCACGCTATCTTCGGTGGCTTCATGGTTGGCCTCATTCTTCCTCGTGAAAACGGCTTTGCCATCAAAGTCACCGAAAAGTTGGAGGATTTGATCGGCGCATTATTCCTGCCTCTATACTTTACACTGTCCGGCCTCAACACCAACTTGGGACTGCTGAATTCTGGCATCACATGGGGCTACGTCTTTGCCGTTACATTCACCGCTTTCTTCACCAAAGTCATTGGTGCCACTCTTGCTGCCAAGTTAAACGGAATGGTCTGGCGAGAATCCTTTTCCATTGGAGCCTTGATGAGTTGTAAGGGACTCGTTGAACTGATTGTGTTGGTTAGTATTACCTTTGCCCACGCGAGCTGCGCGTGAGGTGACTGTCGACATCAGTCGCTAAGGCTGACTGACGTACTAGAACATCGGCTTGCAAGCCAAGATCCTGAGCACACGCACTTTTACCATCTTCGTCGTCATGGCTTTGCTGACAACTTTCGTCACAACGCCCCTGACATCGGTCCTATACCCTCCGTGGTATCAGAAGAAGATCGAAGCTTGGAGGCGCGGGGAGATTGACTGGGATACTGGTGATCTTCATCCCGAATACAATACGGGCAACGACACAGACTCCCCCAAACATGCTAGCACCCGCGTCCGACGCCTCTTAGTATACCTTCGGCTGGACAACATGCCGGCAATGCTGAACTTGGTGTCGTTATTCGGAAAGCAATCTGCATCTGACAACCAATACGTGGCACAGGATGAGAAGGGCGGCGTCCACTCAGAAACAGCCAACCTGCAGGCTTCTCCCAACACTCAGGCTGTGCGAGCTCATGGATTTCGTCTGCTACATCTTACTGACCGCGACTCGTCTGTGATGACAGTGTCGCAAGTAGCCGAGTGGAGCCAAAATGACCCGGTGGTCAACATCTTCCGTACAGTCGGCCAGTTTCTCAAGGTCGCCGTGTCTGGCGAAGTGTCAATCATGCCCGAGGCACGCTTTGCCGAAGCGCTGCTCTCCAAGTCGTCGGATATTTCATCGGACCTTCTCCTGGTTCCTTGGAGCGAGAGCGGTAGTCTGGTCGACTCTCAAGTTTCACCCGCAGATGGTGCCGCAAACAAATTTGCAACGGCATACACATCATTCGCCAAATCAATACTTGCTTCTTCTGAGCAAAACATCGGACTTTTCTTCTCTCACGATGGCTCTCGGCCAACAACCTCATCCGGCGAGAAGGCCAAGCTTATGCGAACTTACTCGTTTAGCGACATTCACCACGATATTCCATCGATTCCTGTTACGAACAAGTCCCATCACATCTTCATGCCTTACTTCGGTGGCCGCGATGATAAACTAGCCCTCATCCTAGTTTTGCAGCTCTGCGAGAAGCAGAACGCCACAGCCACTGTTGTGCACTTCGCTTCATCGGCCGAAGCTGACCAGGATGCCAGTGACTTCTTCGGCTTCATTTCGACACACGCCCCAGCTGCCACAGGGTCCCGAGTAAAATTTGAGGTTTCATCTGCCAGCAATCCCATCGAGGCTGCCGTAAGCCAGGCTACCTCCGCCATTCGGGCTGACTCCCGGGGCATTGCTTGGCATAACCTCATCGTCCTTGGTCGACGTACTTCTGCTTTGTCCAAGGAGGGTAAAAACTCTGTTAAAGTATCGACCGAGGCCAGGGAGTGTTTGGGTTCGGCGGCTGCGGCCCTCATTTCGTCCGAGGTGAAAGCAGATATGTTGGTTGTACAAGCTAAAGCCGGGTCGGCGTGATTGTTGAGGAGCATAGTCAGCGAATTGCAATGGAACATTGTGTTTTACACATAACTTACAGGCGCGTTTGCAATGCCAAGGATTCGCTTGTGCAGTGTACCAGTTCAGCATTCGACATTGTGTATGTTGCCGCTGAGATGATGTACAGCGGAATGATCCATTAGCCACTTGCGGTACAGGAACGAAGTGAAATGTGGTACTCAGACGCGTCTGGCAGGTGCACATCATGCTCCAGTCATGTTTTCTATAGCTGAATTGACGCAGCAGCTCTGGGTACCATTGTTAGTCCTGCGGGAAAGACTGGTGTCTAGGATGCTAAATGCTGAATGCAGACGCAAATGTCAAGAGTGTAGTGAAGTCTGGTGCAATGCAGAGGAGACACTTGCAGGGTGAGTAATGTAGGATCACAACAATAATAGCATGTTGTCAGGAATTGCCATTATCTCATGCAACATGATATTTCCTAATTGACATTGCTGTTGTAAATTCGATGGGGAAATAGGGCTGCCCGCACCGATTCCAACACCAAAGGAGTGGGCTCAGAGGCGCTCCGAAACAAAGCACTTACGTTGAGAACACCTACAAAAAGTAGCAGAGAGTAATCATCAGTATATCGACGCCAAAACACCAATATGGTACATCACCGACGTCTGCGTCCACTGCTACCCCCACTTCCACCGTAGCTATTGGCACTGTTGACCGCGGGCTGCATCACAAAGTTACGTATGCCCATCTCGCATGCCTGACGCAATGCTTGATGCCGCATGCCGCCTTTCATACCAGAAGCCTTATGGCCAACAAACGTGTCCACCAAAGCAGCACCCAGGGCAGCTGTAGCTACTTTGGTGCCCTTCTCGCCAATCCAGGGCCCGGGCTCATTACGCATCTGATAGGCCGCTTGGCTGCCGACACGAAATGCGGTCTGGGCAGCTTCACCAAGAGCTGCGTACCCAACGGCAGACTTCGCCCGTGGCCGAGCTCCTCGCGCGGCGTTTCCTATGGCAGGATTCCTGGGCACAGACCGACCCCTTGCGGAGCGTTCCTGCCCTGGTGGGACAAAGCGGCCTGGCGAGTCATTTTTCCCATTACCGCGGCCCGGGGCCGCATGTTCTGCAGAGCGTCGATGGGGTTCGGTCTGGTAGTCTGAATGGCGAGCACGATATGTCGCGCTAGCCCTACGCGGAACAGCGCCGTCATCCTCTGCGTGACGTGACCTTCTCCTATCGCTGATCTGAGGCTCTGAATCATAGTCGGCATAACGGGAGCGGCGCGTATTACTGGGGCGCATTTCTGGGTCATAGTCAGGGTATTTGGCGCGTCTTGTCTCGCTTGTTCGGGGCGGGTGGTAGGCATGTTGTCGTTCACGACCCCGACGAGATGCGGGGGCGTATGTGTCGAAGCCTTCTCGATCATTGGTGGTCCGATACGAGTCCCCCGCGGAGGGCCCATGGCTTCGCGCTCGCCGAGGGAGGGCTTCATCGTAGTCGTTGTGGTAGTTTTCCTTAGGAGCTTTGCGATCACGCCTTGTATCTACTGGAGATATGTGGTCGTCCAGTACCGTGTCCTTGCGCTCTTTGCGGTGCCTGCGGCTTTCGCGAGGATCTTTCTTTTGAGCATGTTCTCGCGGGTTATCATCGTAAGAGGCAACAGGTGCGGCTGCAGGCTCAGATCTGTGGCGACGGCGGGGTCCCGGGCTGCGACCCCTGGGAGGATATGGGTCGTCGTATGGGGCGGCTGCCGGACGGCGATACTGATATGCATGCGGCGGGTAAGAGCCATCCAAATCGATGTCGGGTGCTCGACGGTGAGGGCGTCCCATCCTTAGTCAGGATGGTCGGTTGTATATCCAGCTGATGAAGGGAGGCGAGGGAGGTAAAGGATGGTCAGACAGGCAGATTTGTAGCGAGAATCCTGATGGCTTTTGGGAGGATTGATTCTAGAGACGAGCATGGTGAGCGAAGAGACGAAAACTACGGGAGGGGGAGGAAATCTGGGGGTTGCGTATATAACAGTGCGTAAATCACACGGGAGTCCATGTTGTCGTCGTTTGGGGGTGGGGAGGGGCGTGGCGTGGGTTTGGGTTGGTTGGCTGGGTCAGGATGATGGGTGCGAAAAGGAAAAAGGTCTGGTCTGGGTGGATTGATGGAGAGACTAGTCTAGGCAGTGTCGACAGGCCCGGAAGATGAAGCCAATACGATTGCAGGCACACGTCCCTCTTCCCTCTGGTCTGAATGACTGCCTGTCTGTCACGGAAACCAGGCCTGACCGGCCAAAAACCGAGATCAGACGGGAGTTGTTTAACGAGGATAGCGTCACACGTAGGCGATCGGCTGACCGCTGTAGTTTTGCGGGGGTTTACGGGTCGGAGGACTCCACTGCAGTCGCGTGCGTTCGCTCAGTGGCTCGGGGTAATGTTGGGGCTCTTTCTTGCTTCCCACAAGTGCGGTCTTAGTCTTCCTTCGCCTCACCTGGTGGAACCAGTGAGGCAACCTCGAAATCTGCACCATACTGCACCATACTTAGCCGTAGGTCGTTTGGTAATAAGTCTTTCTCCAAGGGCCCGGCCTGCCACGTCGTGTACTCTCCTCACCAATATTGAGTCTGACCTCTATTCCCCCCCTTTTTCTTCTTTTGCCCTTTCCTTCAATCTGATTTCATGGCTCTAGTCGCCCGTTATTCCAATATTCGTACCCAATTATCTAACCAAGCAAGCATAACTTGGCGTCTCAAGGTCACCTTGTTACATTATCACGACATGGGCTCCGGAGGAATTCGCTGCAGGGCGGTCGTGTTGTGGCGGCATCTGGAGTGCTGCAGAATTCGAAGAGCGGAACCTGCCCTGAGCCAGCCTATCGTTGGTTGTGGCCGGCTGGAAACCCACATCTAGACCTCGCCCCCCCCGTGCCAACGACATGCAGGGTCCAACATATGACGTCACATGAGGTCAAGGTGCGTCTTCAAGCCACCATCCAGACAAATGCTGTTGGAGTTTGCAATCCCAAACGCATTGCATCCGCACACCTGCATCACGATCCAACATCATGAAGTCAGCTTGTCCACAAATTCATGGCTAATCTGCCTATCAAGCCCCCCCTGAATCCCGAGGTGCAAGCAACTCCGTGGCATCACAGCACTGATCCCAACTTCCACTCCAGGTGTCGTTACTTCAGCTTTCTACTAGTCGAACTACCTACCCAACACCTGACTTCTCACTAGTCAGTCACTCAGTGTCCTCGACACCGCTTGACTGCACACTCACAGCCAAACCAATGCAAAGGAGAAAGAATGCAGGGCGGTCAACACTTACTTCGGCCCAGTCTGCATGGTACTGCTCCTTTGATCAGACGGTACTCCTGCTGAAGATTGGCTGCGGGTGACGTCGTGAGATTACTTGACATGGCAATGAAGTCCAATTGCTCAACCTGAGGCGGCACACTACCTAGGTAGGCCAGCATTCATCACATCACGCGACGTGAGAGGAAAGAGAGGGGCAATTGCATTTCGGGTGTCGCTTCAGATCGGCCCTGCGTTCTGGGAGCGTTAGGCGCCGAGTTGGACACGTCCCCCTTCAAAGGTTATCGAGTTCGGATAACATTCAACTACTTATCTGGCGAAGGCAGAATCCTTATGATGAGGACTGGCATGGATGGAAACCTCGATAATCGAGTCTAGAGGTGCAGGTGCTAGCATCGGCGTTCCTGAGACTCGCATGGGTTTGCTGGCCAACTTTCGACTTGACCAGAAGCCATCCGTTGCGCAAGACCAAACTTCCTAGATGCTATGCACAGGCCCTATTATTGAGCCAAGGCTAGCGCTGTGTGGGATGGATGATTAGCAAAGCAGGCCCCTGGGACTTTCCCTACTATGTACTTTCCCGCCGCTGTCCTGGTCTGCCTCAGCAATACCGCCCGGCCAGCATTTCGATGCGTGCTGTGGTTTCTCTCTGAGCACAAAGTTCTAAAGAGACCGCCTATCCTTCCTGTGTCTGCGCGGCTATATTTCCTGCGTGCTTATTCACTCCTGTTGAGACGATAGGAGCAGCGACGACGACGATTGAGGCACGACGATAAGTAGAATAGCCACAGGAAAAGTAGTCGGCATAGCACAGGAAAAATAGGCGGTCTCGTTCTAAAATCTCACACAAGCCTCAAGCAAGTCGGACAAGGCATCGCCGAGGTTGGGTCGGTCCCAAACCCGTGGCACCGTTCTATATCACAAGCGGGCCGCGCACATGTGCCGTGGGAGCCAGGGCCCTGATTAACATACAACGCTGCTGTTCAAATATTGTCACTCCGGTCTTCGGGCATCGCGATTTTGAGACTATGACACCAGCCAAACAGTCCTACGGTCGTGTACGAATACGTTATTATGTGGGTGCTTTTCCTCCCGAGCTCTCGGATCCCGCAGTGCAATCCCGGCGAAGTGCGCTGGTTTCTGATTAGTGCTGGTCTGTCGTATTTTCAGCGATATCCAAAAGGAAAGCGGGGCCAAAGATAAGAGATGTCTCGTTTGGGTTATGTGTCCCGTGCCGCGAAGTTGTCCTAGGATAACGGTCGGCTGTTGTCCATCTGAACATGCCGCCGTATTCTCCACAACCGAGAATGAGATGGGTTGCCCACCTTGGACGAAGCTAGACCAAGATGACAGTGCATTGACATGCCATCTGATCCCGAACATTCGGTTCGTTCCTTCGCTTCGTGCATGAACCAAGTGAATTGTCACTGAAAAGGATGGAATGTCCACCCCGGAAACTTGGGACATTATATCGAGGCTGCACTGTCTACGACGCTTAAAGGCTGGCCGTGAAACTCTGCAATGAACACACATTGTAGAACGCATCACGCTTAGCCGGTAGCCACTGGTGATGAAATACTTAGTCTGGAGCCGCGGCCAAAGAAAGTGTGGCCAGGCTTGCAGCGGTATGTGTCACGACAGCGAGTCAGTGACTATAACCCAATGGAATCTGCAAACACTTGTTCTTGCAAACTCAGAACCGAGCGACGTCCTGTCTATCGTGACCACACCAGAATCACATATCCCATTTGATTCGACCCAAGAAATCCTTCCCCATCTTTCGAATCTCTGGGACTCATAAGATGATCCACGGGCGGAAATGGCATGGCCGTCAGGCAAGGGCATGATTCCTTCCTTCCTGCACATTCTCATTCATGCAGTCTGGTGGTGGTGGTGAAGGCGTTTGTCGGCCATGCGCTAGTGCTGCGGTGTGCCCTCCCTCGGTTTCCCAACTTGCAATTCGTGGGGGTGGGCCGGGCCCTTGCTGGAGTGAGCTGGCAATCACAATCGAAAGCGTAATCAGCAGCCGGGGTGCATGTCGGGGGGCTCCTATCGCTCAGACGAATGGCAGGTGACAGATTAGACGTGAACTGGACCAAACATGCGTACACTCTTTGCCGTCGGTGGAGTGGTCCGCCGACGACCGTTCTTCGCCCGGTTTCGTCCAAGAAGTCGTCGCCTGGCATCTGAGCACGATAACGAATGACGGGGGAAGTAGTACGGGCGACGCCGTTCGGGCAAAGCAGTTGTAGAAAAGGGGAGGGTGGGTTTCTCCGGCCGCCAATTAATCCATCCATCGACAGCTGGTGGCGCAGAGACAACAAAGTCAGAAAGGGTATCTGTACGTATCTACTGATTGTACTGTACCAGAGGCTGGAATCTCAACATCAACAAGTAGGTACCCAAGAAACGGAAGCGCCCAGGGCAAGACATTACATCGCAGCAGTGGATATGGTGGACATGACCGGCTTGGCGACAACCGGGACGTGGCCTTCGCCGACTTGTGTCTCGCATGGCTGGTTTAGCAGATGAGCTTGTACTACCAATACCAGGGCAACAACTACTATGTATGTGCTAGCTACCTACTGCGAAGGAGCTGACGATGCTGATGCCAAGAACGAACGACATGGAGACTGATTAGGACATGTCGCCCTCCCGTCGCCAGCGCACTATGCCGCGCCATCTGAAGAGTTCCACGAGGTGGCGCTGTCCGGTATCCGGCGGTCTGATGGCGCTGTCAAGACGCACTGCTGCGGTGTCAAGCTGGAAAAAGAAAGCAACGGACGGCGTCGAAGTCCACACGCGAGGCTGTCCTCAGCTATACCTTACCTCATTGCCTGTTATGGTACCGGACGTCTTTTGGGCTCTCTCACTACGGCCCCGCCCGGCCAGGGCGGGCCTCGTCCAAGAACAGCATAGCACCGGGCCTGTGAGCCCAATCAAGCGTGGCAATCGCCCCTCTTCGAAGCTGAAAAATGGGGTGTTAATCCCGCGGTCAATGGGCGGCTGCGGCAAGTAGAGATAGCTGCCCCGGCCGAGACAGCTGCCCGCATGTTGAGGCACCAGGCGGGCTGCAATGTACTGTGCTGCCGGCCATCGGCCGCGAGGCTCCGCCTCGCACAATGGAACACAGTATGCGTGCATCTCATCCCAATGTACCTGAGTATGCTAAGTCAGTCCCCGAAGGAGACTTCATCCCGAGAACCAGGGCGGGGGGAAGAGGGAGGTAGGCAGAGATGCCAGAACAATGAAAGTGACTATCATGCGTGCAACAAGTCCCCTCCGTTCTAGGCTTCCTGCCATATTTGCCCGGCTGCGGTGGCAGTGACAGAGGCAGTCGGCGCGATACCACCATCAGCCGGCACAGCATGATTCAACGTCGGAGATCCCTTAATCAAGACCAAGTGCTCACCGACCCAAGGTTCCTTGCCTTAGTGTGCATTTCCCGTACCTTAAACCACCTTAGCTCAAGATGGGTCCGAACCGTGCAGTCAAAACATAGAGCTCCTCGACTTCAATGGGGACTTTTTACCTGCACTTCATGCCCCTGCCCTAATGCTAGGCAAGGCGAGGTACCTACCCAAGGTAAGGTAAGGTCGGGTAGGCCGCACTTTTGTGCGACTGGACGCTATTTTCCAAACCCGAAAACCTTTCCGCCTCTTTTGTGGGTCTCGAGTTCAAATTTCCGTAACATCCAATTCCCATCTACTTCTCGACTTCTGCAACCCGCCATTTGCGGCAACGATGCTCTCGTCCTGACCCTGACCATTACCTTTTCCCGCTTGAGCACACATACTCATGGGCCTCTCTCCTTCCTCTCAGCAACTATGCTGTCCTGCATTTGAATGGCGCCGTGTGGCGCTCGATACGGCAGGTTTCTGACGTGACATGGCACCTGAAATTGGACGATAAAAGTGAGTGAGTTCCATTCCCGAACGAAGCCACACCGAATGGAGACCTAGCTGCTGGCGGTGGCGCCTCCATACCATGTGGTGAGGACGGGAGGGTATCCATTCGTGTGGCCAAGTGAGTAAACGGCCATACTAATCGTGGGTCCTATCTCTGATGACCTGCCTAAGATATCGGCTTAGCCATACCTTAATCGGTAGCCGCGAAAGAAAAAGACAGCGGTCGGGACGCTTCCTTTGTTTCTTCTCCCCTCCCCCCTCGTCGCCCCTTCCCCTCCCCGTAGAATCCATCAATACTTCTTCACCCCCGTCCATGAGTGAGTTGAGTTCAGCTTGACTTCCAGCCCGTTGACGCGACCGCGTCGCACACAAGCGCGGCGACGCCCTCTGCCTGGGTAGGAGGTGGTCCGGTCCAGCCTTCACTTGGATACCTTACCACGGCGACGTCGACGTATAGCGCCCAGGACGCTGCCATGCATGCGGTGCGATGCCATGGCTATGTATCCGGGCCGGATGCAAGTACCTTCCCGCGCTAAAGGGCTTGTCCGCCTTGCCTCACATACCTTACTAGTCTTTGCGATACATGTACGGGTGCCACACCATTCTCTTGACATAGAACGATGGAAGCCAAAGTTAGAACGTGGGTGCCATGCCATCCACCTCCATCGCATCAAATCCCATCGTTCCAGCATCCGTATCCTTGCCCACCTGCCCGCCTACGGCCTGCGCCAGTGATCCACGCCATGCCCCATCACAGGCTGGACCCCCCGGCGATCCAGCAAATGATAATCATTTTCGCGCTATTAAATAATGGCTCGAGTTTTCTTTGATAACGGGACTGACTGGCTGGATGTTGTCCATCGGCCTTGCCTCCTCCGAATTTGCTGCCGCGCATTCTACGCAGCAGGTTGATAAAAACCTGACGTCTTGCCGCTCTCTCGGACAGCTTGCTGCTTCTCTAGGCTTGTCCTCCTCCTACCCACTTATCACCGTTGTCGTTGTCCGGTCTTCGTCGGCAGTGCGATCTCGAACCAGATTTGCTGCACTGGAACCTCCTGCCGTCCTCGCAAACTACCTATCGCTGGTGTCAAGTTGACTGAGGCTTTCCCGGTCTTGCTTTTCACGCTTGCTTTTCCGGCGACCAAAATCTACGCTGCCACCTTTCTCACTTTGATCAGACTCTATCGGCTTTTGATCGCCGACACCTGGTCATATTTTCTTCTTCGTTTTCATTTTCTTTCTTTCTTTCCCCTGGCCTGTAGACTGGGCCGTCTGATCTCTCCTCGGACACCAACGCTGAAGAGGGAGGGGGGAAAATTTTGTGCAAGATGGGGTGGATTCATAACGCCAATGCCAAGATCGCCGCTAGCCCGGTCGGTCGGTGGTTCCAACTTGAAGGCTCCGGTCATGTAAGTCGCAGTGCCCCTAGATCATTCCTTGACTATCCCATTGGGCGTTGAGCTCGGCTCGCCTGCTTCTCATGGTTGCGGTCGCCGTCAGACGCGAGGATGGCAGGACTGGATGGTTTTCTTGCCCAATATCTAACTGCGGTTACTAACCGAAACAACTGCAGCCCCGAGAGCGTAAGGGCTCGTACTTCTTCACCGAGATCCGTGCTGGTCTTGTCGCCTTTTTCGCCATGGCTTACATCATTGCCGTCAACTCGTCCATCGTGTCTGATACCGGCGGCACCTGTGTTTGCCCTCGTACAGCCGATGACTTTACTTGCGACAAGGACGAAGATTATCTGCTGTGCGTGGCTGAGGTGAAGCGCGACATCGTCACTGCTACCGCCGCCATCTCTGCTCTGGCCACCTTTTTCATGGGTCTGCTTGCCAACATGCCCGTTGGTTGCGCGCCGGGCATGGGTCTGAACGCCTACTTCGCTTACTCTGTCGTCGGCTACCACGGGACCGGCGCCGTTCCCTACCAGGTCGCCCTCACTGCCATCTTCATTGAGGGCTTCATATTTTTCGGCCTCGCTCTGCTTGGGATGCGCCAGTGGCTTGCCCGTGCCATTCCCCGCTCTATCAAGCTCGCCACCGGTGTCGGCATCGGCTTCTTCCTCACCCTGATCGGTCTGACTTACAGCGAAGGTATCGGCCTGATCGTCGGTGCCACCTCCACCCCCTTAGAGTTGGCCGGATGTGAGCAAGGCCTCATGGTGGACGGCCTTTGCCCCTCTTCAACCAAGATGCGCAGTCCAACCATGTGGATTGGCATCTTCTGCGGTGGCATACTGACCGTCATGCTCATGATGTACCGCTTCAAAGGCGCCATACTCGCTGGCATCATCCTTGTCAGCATCATCTCCTGGCCCCGCGGGACCGACGTTACCTACTTTCCCTACACTGCTGTCGGGGACTCAAACTTCGACTTCTTCAAAAAGGTTGTCGATTTTCACCCCATTCAGCATACCCTCAATGTCCAGGAATGGAATGTTGCCGGATACAGTGGCGCCTTCGGCCTTGCCCTCATCACCTTTCTATATGTCGATATTCTTGACTGTACCGGCACGCTGTACTCGATGGCTCGATTCGCAAACCTCATCGACGAGGACACGCAGGATTTCGAGGGCTCTTCTGTCGCTTACATGGTTGACGCCCTTAGCATTTCGATTGGCGCCCTCTTCGGCACTCCCCCAGTCACTGCTTTTGTCGAGTCAGGCGCCGGCATCTCTGAGGGCGGAAAGACTGGCATCACTGCAATGATGACTGGACTTTGCTTCTTTATATCAGTCTTCTTTGCTCCTATCTTCGCTTCTATTCCATCCTGGGCTACCGGCTGCGTCTTGGTTCTTGTTGGATCCATGATGGTCCGGGCCGTGACCGAGATCAATTGGAGATATATGGGCGATGCTGTCCCTGCCTTCATTACTATGGCTCTTATGCCCTTCACATATTCCATCGCCGATGGCCTGATTGGTGGTGTCTGCAGCTACATCTTGATCAACACCCTAGTCTGGGTGATCGAGAAGGCCTCTTTTGGCCGTATAGTTCCCCCTAACAAGGACGAGAAAGATCCTTGGACGTGGCGCATTCCTGGCGGCATCCTTCCGCCGTGGGTTAGACGTCTCATCAAGGGCAAGAAGGACTTCTGGCGTGCAGACCACCAAGATGGCGGCAACGTCGCCGAGGAGCCTCAGCCCCTGGAGAAGACGGCCAGTTCTGACCAGGGTGGCTCGGTGAACGGCAAAGACAAGGACGTTGGCGAGACCATCTCACCGCGGGGTGACAGGTCATCTTGAGTAGTATCAGTAAGGGAGGATCTTGGAAATTATAAACATAAAGTACGAATGTCTTGCTTGTTACTTGGACAGGATACCCGACCATGGACATGTGTCCAGCATTATTTGCTTTAAATTTACAACAGTAGCAGTAATGAGAAAGGTGAATATCTCACCCGTGGTGCTTGCTACTGGCTTGGTAGGGTGTTTTTCCCGGACATACTGCGAGTGGCTCTCATGACGTACGAACTGGTTCAGGCCCTGACATCCTCGCCATTGCCGAGAGTAGCAATCGCGCCAATTGCAGACTCAACAATGCCGTCCTGAGTATCGTGGGGGCTTGCAGCTTCAGCGTCGGTGGATACGGCTGGTGCCGTTGTGACGGCTTCGCTTCCAGCTTGTTCCATGGCAGCAAGTCGCGCAGCCCTGCCTTCCTTCTTTCGCGGTACCGGTGCTGTGGGATGTATTAGTAGACGAATCATTGCCACAGATTTTCAATGGCAACGAGAACTTACCGCGACCATTTTCCTGGACGTAGAAACGCCGGAGAAGACTGACAGCTTCGTCACGGCCCCATCCGCCCTCTGCTTCGAACCCACGCTCAACGTTGCCACCATCGCCGGGTTGGTCTGTTGCTTGGCGGTTGCCCATTAGCATGCTCTTGTTCGACGAAGAGCTAGATGGTCGGGAGATGTTGCTAGCGTTAGTGGAGACCTGGAGAGGCTTTGTTGCAGGGGTAGGATTGGACGAGCTGGTTGAGTTCCTGTGAATGCTGAACACGCCACCGGTGCCGCCAAACTTGTCGTTGACAGCGCCGAAATAGACCTTGTTGATGCCAAGCTGTCGCAGAAGGCCAGCACACATGACGCAGGGTTCGACTGTAACGTACAGAACACACTCCCGAACAATGGAGCGGGCGACTTGAGTATCTCGGTGCAGCTTCTGACCGTAGGGGTACAGGTGACCGTTTCTGACGTAGTCATCGTCCATAGGGAACAAGTCCGAGTCGTCGTCATCTTGAGTGTCAGACTTAGAACGCTGGTCGGCTGACGAGTCGAATTGTTCATCGGCCGGCTTCTCAGACTTGCCCGCTCCGTAGGAGAGAAGGGCGGACAGTGCCATGAACTCAGCATGCCGGGTACCGTTCCGAGTAACATTTGTTGCATTCATGCCTCTCGCCACGACGGCTCCCTTGTGGACGAGAACACAGCCAACGGGTGTCTCGTTCGTCCTCAAAGCCAGACGGGCCTGCAGGAAAAGTCAGCCACTGCGTTGAACAACCTCGTCATCACGTGGCATCCAAGAATAGCCACGACCTACCATATCCAGAGCCTGGTCCATGAAGACCTGATGGATGCGCTTTTCCCCGGTAGGAGTGTAGGGGTCACGGTTGATGGAGCCGGACGACCGAGGTCGAGAGGCTGCGTCGTCGACGGAGAGGCGGTTCAAGGCGGCAGTGGGAGCGACAACTGCAGTTGGGGGAACTTGATTCTCCTTGTCGCTGGTCAAAGCAGGAGCGGTCATGGTCTTCGGAGAATGTGGGTTTGCGGCTGAGTCTTGAGTATGGGAAACGATGGTTCGAGGTGCGACATCGGCCATTTTCGATTGTTCCAATGATGGTGGCAAGTTCTTTTCTCCGGGTGGTGATGATTGTGACTGGGAAGACGCTGCTGGGGCGGATGGAGGTGAAGGTGAATGTGATGGTGAGGGCAGGGGTGGAGCAGATTTGGTGTTGGGAGAGAAGGGGGATTTGAGACGGGCGAAGACTGTCTGTAGGAATTTCCCAGTTGTTGAAAACCGCTGCATCCTCCTTTCCTGTGACTCGGAGTCATTCGGGGTCGATCCCGTTGTGGAAGGCGCCTTCGTCATATTGCCCATCTTGGCAGGCTCGTCGATGCCTGCCATTCACCAAGACTTCTGGACAGGCTGGGCAGGTACCGCAAAGATCCCAGACAGCAACAACACTACCTAGATGCGCACTTGCAGGTGCAGGAGCAGCCTCTGTGGGCCTGGGCCTGGGCCTGAAGGGCTGGGTTATCTCCCTCTTTGTAAAGCAGAAGAGCAGGCAGGCTCCAGGTTTCAGGCACCTCTTTTGTGCAAACAAGTGGTCTGCTGATGAAATCAACACTACCTGACACAATCTTCTTTTGACTGCTCTCAAATCCGCAGCTTGTCTAGGTCATCTGATCCAGCGTTCCTCCTCATCAAAGCCTTAAGGTAAGGAGAGGTCAGCATCGACCTTTCAAGGCAGAGATCGGGCACGGGAATACCGCACCAAATACCTGGTCCGTAAGCTTTTCAGTCAAAAGGTCTTTGTTGGTCTTTCCGATAAAAGTCTCTAGACAAGTACGGGATAAAGCGTAGTGTCTAAGGCGACAGACTTGAAAATCAATGGCGACTCAAACCTGCCGGCGGAAAAAAATAAGGTAGAAAAGAAGGGGACTGAAACAGGTGGGAAGCAAGTAAGCCCAGGAGTTCAGTTTTCAGTCATAATGACTACCCCCTATGGCGAGAAACAGGCCTCAATCTGAAAGTCTTCTGCCCAAGCCTACCGATGGTGAAGTTTTTTCGTGGTCGATACCGAGAAACCAAGTTTGGAGTGCACAAGCAACCCATTAGTGACATCGTGAGATGAACTTTGCAGGAATGAAGTGGGAACGTGTTCGATCACGTGATACGAGCTGTTAAGCAGTGCACCGACCATTTGAAAATGCCAAATTATGCTTCTAACAGTTCAACTCGGCTTACCGATCTTACAGTAAATACATATATGCCACGAAGGAGTCGATAAAGGAGGCTTGCAAGAAGTGAGTAAGTGCAACAAGCAACTGCTGGTTACACCCATCGTGTCACGTCATCTCTTGTTATCATAGATAGAAATGTGAGCAAGACAGTATATTGTTAACCACACAAACTAGCAGGATATACATGTTCCCTTTCCAACCTGCGCAATCAGCAAGACCGTCTTGCCCGATGATTAAGCTGACATGGCAGCCCTCGCTGGGCAATCATATCTCATCAAAACAGAGGGGTATCTCAGAAACCAACGCTCCCATAAACATCAGCAAACGCTACAACTCATTCCTTGTCCATAGAAGCCAGGAACATCCATCCAAGCCACTGGTCAACGAAGTGCCTGTTAGAGCACTCGCGCGAAGCCCAGAAGCCTGGGCCCAACTGCCGGGCTCGCCCGGGAGTTTGCCGCGGCATTCTGGCGACGGGTGTGTCGTAGTCTCGTGCTGACGCAGGAGAGTAGCCTCGCGCTGTCGCTGAAGCCTTGCGGCTTTGGCGTGGTACTGAGACGGCTCTGTTGCGGTCTCAAGCCATGGAGACTTGAGTAAGGGTAGTAGGCCTCATACATAACGAGGCCAAAGAGGATCTGGACAAGGCCACCAACAAGTGCTCGGGCTTCCAGTGAAGTGCCAATCTTGCCAAAAACTGCCACAATCAGTACTGCAGACAATAGTGCCTGTGTCATGGACAGCTGATCGACAAGAGCGCGACATGTGATTACTACATGATCGCCGACCATGGCCTCAATCGCGCTCTGCACTCCAGTCACCTTAGTGAGCGAAGACCGGGAGCTGAGCGGCGCAGACGTGCCACGACTAATCGCCGACGATGTGCTGGCAACCCGCGCGCCACGTACTGGCGTGGTCGTGGTCTCGCCAACCCTCTCACCAGAAATTGTCGCCGTGGTAGTCGCGTAATAAGACTGCTCCTCGACCAGTGTCGAGAAGCGATCTGAAGAAGCAACGGTGGATAGCGGTACTTGGCTTGGCACTGCTCGAACCGGAGACGCGTTGAAGCTTCCGCCATTTGCGGTTGCTAGTGACGTGTTGGAACCATTGGCCAGCGCAGCGCGGGCAGAGGAAGTCAGTCTCGTAGTAACGTCGCTGGCGGACTGGTGCGATAGGGCTCCATCATGACTGCTATATGTCACCAGCGGTGATTGTGCTGACCGGCTTCGGGAGGCATCTGGGCGGATGGTGGAGGAGGCGCCAAGGTTCTGTTCCACTGTCAGCGTGAACATTGAAGTTAGGCAGTCAGAAGTGCGCACCAGTGAGACATTTTCAATCTCTGAAAATGAGGGGAGTGCTCTTCCGCCTGATGTTAAGATATGCCCATGATCCACATATGCAGTTTCGAGGAGTTGCGGTGATGTCAAGGCGCCGGAACCAGCTGTGCTGACCGCAGCTCTTTGGGCCAGGTTGCCTGTCTCGGCATCGTGTAGGCTTACAGACCGGCGATCTTGGGTCAAGCTTGGGCGCAAAGACGAAGCCTGACCAAAGTTGGAGGCACCAATTTCGTTGACCAAAGCAGAGTCGTCGTCCAAGAAGCTCGGCTCAGGAGAGTACAAGCTGAAATCGACGTAGTTGTTGGCCGGTCCTGATGCATCCAGGTACGGTAGCGTCGGTGGACGTAGTGCGGCATTCTCGAACGAATCGGCGACAGAGACAGTTTGGAGGATGTCGCGGTTGGCTTGTAGTTGATCGAAAATGGCGGAGGGCGTCGCGGGCGAACGGCTTGACTGTGGAGAGAGATGGCCCGCCGGGTCGAAGAAGAAGTCGTAGTCGAAGGGGGTGACATTGACGGCCTCGTCGTCATACTGTACGAAGGACTCCCAGGATTCGGAAAAGTCGAAAGATGTGTCGGCAACCTCAAGAGCAGGTAAGATCGGCTCAGTAAACAAGGACGGAGATATGTTATGCTGCGATTGTCGGTCTTTGACAGTACGAGTACCTGGTGCAGTCGAGGTTCTGGCTTTCTTCGGTAGCCGAGCTGGGGTGGCGGGTTGCGCCTGCGCAGCTGCGGTACGCTTCTTGTGGCTTGGGTCGCACCGGACCTTCTTCTTCTTGCAAGCATCACAGGCCTTGATGATGCGCATGAGGTGTGCGTGATCCCGTTGCTCCTTCGTCTTGCAGCCGCGAGAAGCAGAATTGGTGACATCACGGCCATCCTTGGTCATGATCTTCATTCCTGGGAGATGAGAGAAGTCGTTGGCTTGTGGCTTGGCGGCGGCAGAAGCACTCTTCTTTGTGATCTTTGTGGGCTTCATCTCCTGGGCTACCGAAGTAGGAGTTGACACGGATACAGTGCTTGGCGTCGAATGGGACCAGTTCCAGTCCGAAATGACAGGGGAAACGAAGTTAGAGTCGTAGCCGGAATCCTGCACGGGGCTAGACTCGGCAGACACTGCCTGTGTCACGACGGGATAATACTTGAAGGTCTCTCCTGTAAGTTGGGAGTACTCAAAGAAATCCATCGAAACGGTGGCCCTCTTCTCTTTGATGGAGGCGGGTCCAGGAAAATAGGCATTGATGAGGTCGTCAAGTTGCTGAGTACCCAAAGCAGGGTAGAACTGCAGGGAGGCGCCAAGGAACGGTTGGCAGATTGAGAAGCCCTGGAGAGCGCCAACGGAGTTGTTGCGAGACATGGCCGCCATCTGATTGACGGCGGAAGCTACGGACAGGAAGCGGCGAAACGTGGACGATATTGTGATGGACAATCAAGTCCTTGGGATAGAGGTCGGTTCTTTGTTGCAGAGCTGGCTGAATCGATTCGTCTGAGAGATTGTAAGCCTCTACGGTATGGTTCTTGCAGCCCGTCCCTGCCGTGCATCTAATTCAAACCATCCCAGTTCCCCGTGTGCAATGGCCTGGCACTACTTAGGTAGGTATCCGCCGGCCGGCGTGTGGGGGGGGGGGGGGGGGGTTGGTTCGGGCCAGGCAGACATGACCGGAAAGGCTTGCGTACCTGGAACAAATTCGATGCGGCAAGAGACTCTTACGTTCTTGACGATAGAAGCTTCAGAGCGTGTTACTGTAGGATCGTTTTTTGGCCCAGATAGATGAGATAGGGTATTGATGATTTCCAATGGGAAGGGAGGTAAGCCTGAGGAAGGGGGAAGGTCTCCAACTTAGGAGTAGCTTCAGCGAGTCTATCACTCGGCGTATCAAAGTCGACGAAGAGAGTAACGAGAAAAGGAAGAAGTGGAAAGGCTTGGGCGGGATGGGCGGGCGGGAGTCATGGAAGGTATTTCAGGTTGAGGCAGCTCATGTGCACAGCATCGTCTGGTACCTTGTATACCCGGCAAGGCGCAGCCTGTCCGTGGTATTGATTGAACTCGTCGGCGAGATGAAAATGGACTAGCGCCCTCGCGACGCCGTTTCGTAGCACAGCCAATCATAGCCGCAGATCGGGGCCGAAGGATCCATTAGAAACTCTCTAATTGGTTGCCCAGATCCACCTCCAGCGCGCCAGACATAAGATTTTCGGCGACCGAATTGGCTCTTGTCACGTGACTGTGAGTCAGCCTCGAAGCCAATGGCGGCCGCTCCTGGACGTTCGCACCAGCCATGCAGCTTTAGGCGGAGGGCGGGCTAAAATGCTGCAATGCTGACAGGCGACTTTTGGGATACGTACCGCGTCCATGCAAGAACATCGTTCTGAGTACTTTCGATGTTTTCTGAATGTCAGCAAGATGCCACACCCTGCACTATCGTTCTTTCGTCTTTCCAACCCCCTGCTCGTAATCCTCGCCCTGGACTCACAGCTGTATGGTTTCCGGCTCAAATCATGGAAAGGACCGAAGAAAAACAGGATACTGGAAGACTTTGGCTTGCGATACAGCAAATGCTTAGGTGTAGCGGGCATCAACAGTCCTCCTTTGCACTGCGCGCACTTTTTGGGACAAGACAGGAGCTGCCCAGGCTGATGTCAGCTAGGTCGTTGGTTCGCACATTACAGGCCTATTCCACCGCGTCACCGGTCTTTATGACTATGATGAGTGTTATGTTCTTACCGAGCGCTTCTCTCGTTGCCCAGAAAAGAGGATTCGCAATTTGAAGGCCCGGCCCTCCCAGTCGCAATCGTGAACTTCACGAGGCAATATTAAGAAAGATGACTCTGCCGCGCGTTGAGCCCACCCGCCAGCCGAAGGTCTAGATAAACGCAGGCTGCAAGGGGTACGAACATAATAGAGGTTCTCTACTGACCTCATTACTGCTATATTCTCTATAGGTTTCAATTACTATTATCATTCCTACAAAATGTACTACCCCATTGTTAATGTTTCCCTTCTTACCCTCTTCACTATGCCTATCCTCATCGTCCTCGTTACTGAGCTAGTAGCGAATGGATGGTCGACGGTGTCGAAATCGACTAAGCCTGGCAGAGTAGTACGTTCAACAGACAAAGGTGTGTTCAGTTCCAAACCTAAGACTGCATCTGTCCGATTTATACGTTAGGATAGAAGGCGCCTGACCAAGTTGTTTCTGTCGGGACCCCCGCATGTTGGGGATGAAAGAACCTTTAACAGGGCGTTCGCTGAACTCCTGAGCCTTCGTAGCCATTTGGAAGCTGAACTAGGCATTTCGCAGTTCAGGTGTTCATTCGTTTGATCGTTCACGCCTTCGTACCTCCAGTGGGCCGAGTTCTTCGAGATTTCTATACCGGGGAGTATGGTGCGATCGTAGCTGCTCAATCGCAAGGAAGGTTCCGTCCCAGTTTTCACAGCTACCTTGACATCCCTATGATTATTCTTCACCTGTCTCCCAATAGCCAAGGGCATATCTTGCTAACTAAGACGAGTGGTGATTCTGTAGGGACGCAGCCCCGCGCCTGTCGATCCCTGGAACGAAAGGCAGTGGGCCTAGTTGCCATGTTGCACTGAAGTAGCAAGTAGAGATGTGGCTAAAATGAATGGGGCTTTCCCCTCGCGGTTGTGATACCAGAACGTCACCATGAGGATAGCCACTTTGCCAGGTGAACTTGTCGATTCCTAACATGGAGTGTAGCTTGGATGGGAGCTCGCACCTTTCTGGTCTGCTGGAAGCGGTGGATCAAAGTGTAAGACTGGAGTTAGAGGCTGAAGCCGGCCACCCCTTCCCCAAGCCTACCATGGCTGCCCAAGTTGCGAACCAGGATGTCGAGTAGCAACTGAGAACGGCCGGCAAACCACACCTCGAGTGCGAGGTGGGAAAGTAACAATGCCTCGTTAGCTTGCACATGGCAAAGTTGCAATCCTTGGAGAGAGCAGTCAAAACAAATTAAGACGCTGACAGTGAATTGGACTCGTATGCTGGCTGTATTGCGTTGATATAATTCTATTCGTAGATTTTCCGTCAAGACCGTACGCTGTCAGCGGTGTAGGCTCGGTTTGAATTTCAGTTCGCATTCGGCGCTATTTCCACTTAGCCAGGCCTTGCACACCCCAACAGATCGTATGCCTCTCTGCTCCACGGTCCGCCATTCGCTTTGGAGAATCCTGGTAAATGTACGGTAGACGTGTCCGCCTCTTCGGTACCGGTATTCTTGTCAGAGTCGGGCTTTGACGCAGTGACACTGGGGAATGCCAAGCTCGAGTTTGCTGAAATAAAAGATTGTGGGACGGCACCGGCGGCGTCAGATTTTGTAGCCGCCTTACGCCCTCTGGTAGCCGGGTTGACGAGTCGAGCTCCTTTCGTTGATTTCGGCACTTCTCTTTGTAAGACGTTGACTCCTTCGTTGTTTGAGAATCTGGGTGCCCTTTCATTTTTTCGTTTGTTGACCTCTTGGAAGAAGCTCGACTCTGGCTCAGAAGATCCGTCACGCGACAGCGATTGTCTCTGGTCAAATGAACCAATTATCTCCTTGCTCTTAACGCTCCTCCGGCCAAGAGATGCCAGTCGAGGCCCAACATGAACACTCCAGGCTTCTGTATCCTGATGCGCATCACGCATAGACTGGCCCCCTTGCCCCCGAGAGTGTCGACAGACCATGCCTGCGTCGGGCAAGGTCGTCGTATCCATGTCGCGAGATGCCTGCAGCCACTGGTTGTCATTCTGGCCCTCACACCGTTGCTGCAGCCCATCATTCCCATCGCCACTCCTAATTAAGTCGATCGACGTTCTATCATTGCGCCGTATCGTCTGATCTTTTGCAGTGACCGGAAGACCATCACCTTGTTCGATATTAGGACTGCAACTGACTCTGGGAACGACCAATGAAGTATCTTCACACGCCACCGTCATTCTGTCCGTTGTCGCATCAAGTTCCGACATTCTGTTATAGTCGGCGGGGCTTCTTGATGTAGCTCTGTTTGACACGTTTGATACCATCAACAAGCCACGCTTCTGCCTGGACTTGATTCGTAGCTTTGCCTTGGGCTCGTCTGGGGTATCAGGTTGGACAGCAATTGTGGAAACAACATCGCACTTCGTCCACTCGCCTTCTCTGACTGCATCCTCGGTGGATCGTCGTGATGGTTTTGAATTCGTGCTGCTCTTGCCAGAGCAGAGGCCGCTGTGATGGGCCTTTTTGTTCTTGGGCTTCTGGGTTTCGCGCAGGGACGGCGCCATATCGCCTGTCATTGTCGACGCTAAGAAAGAAACCTCGTCTATAGTGAAACGATCTGGTTTTTGAGATTGGGTGCCCTTCTCCCGCGGATGCTCTGTTGATCTTGGAAACTCGTCGGAGCTGCGGGGCAATTGATCAACCCGCAGTACTGGGTCTGCTTGCGACACTTCGCAGGGTTTCACGACTGCGATAGCTTTGGTCTTGGGAATTCCGCTGGGCTGACCAGAAGCAGCCTGATGTTTTTGGAATGCCCTGGTGCTGGAGGTCTTCGAAGGCGTATGTACATCAATCGTGAGATCCACCGCAGCAGGCAACGGTTCATGGGCAATGTTTGCTGCTCGGATGGGGCGAGCAGAACGACTTCCTTCGTTGATGGGTGTTATCAGTGGCTGGCTGCGGATGGATGCACTAGCCGACCACGATGATAGAGTCAAGGTGGTGCCGAAAAGATTCTGAGCATAGCCAGACTTGCTCGGAGGCGACACGTCCCTCTTCCTCCTCTTTGCTGGCCTCGCGTCCTCGTCCTGGGAGCTTGGAGCCTGGGCCGCCATGCGATCCTCGTAGGGAGATGTGGTAGGTATCACCGCTCTTCCTTGCGGTCCACGCGGAGTGTTGAAAACATCGGCCAAGTGCCGTTGCTTGAAGTGGGGATGCGGTTGTTGCTGTGCTTGGTGTTGTTGTTGCCGCCGCCGCCACTGCTGCTGCTGCTGCTGCTGCTGCTGCTGTTGTTGTTGTTGTTGTTGTAGTTGGGGAAGCAGCGAAGGACGAGCTGCAGAGAGGGGTGAGCTGGCAGCAGAGAAGTGAGAATGACGCTGCTCCACGTCCCGGGCTCTCTTGTCGAGGAGGTCGGTAAGATCCTGGTCTTTGGTGCCAATGCATTCAGCGACCTGTACAATGACGGCGCCGCGTTCCAGGTTGAACTCCTCGCCCTCGCCGAATGCGAAGTCCTCGTTCCAGTGCATGTCGCCGATGAAGTTCCCCCTCTCATCATACACCATGATGCGCTTGTTAAAGGTGTGGAACTTGAGGCGACCATCTTGCCAACGCTTTTGCTTGCGCTTCAGATCATGGGTGAATAAGCAGATGAACTCGTGGACCGGAGCAGAGGCCGGTAGACCCGAGGGCTGGCTATGACGGTTGTTAAGAGGCATCCTGGTCGCCATATCCGTGATTGGAACATGGCCGTCTTTACGGCGAATACTGAGTGTTGGGCCGTGATGAGAAGTGACGGGGGCTAAGAAACATAGGTAGGACGCGACGCGACATGAGACGGCAGAGAGGCACGCCAGGTCAGGTGACCTAGAGTGCCTACCCACCAAACTTAGGTAAACCTTACCGTAGGTACCTAGGTGTGTGCCTTGCGGCTGAATGTACTCTGTAAGGTGCCAGGGTAATACACACGGCACCCAGGCGTACTAAGGAACCTTAAGACGAACATGGCCGCCCCGCAAGGGCCTTCCTGTGCTCGCTACCCCATGCAGCTCTAAGGGCGAAGAGGAACCCTGAGATTTGCGATGCGCCAGGACCATAAATCTGGCTGACGGCAAACATAAAGTCCCATCTTGGTCCGGTCGCAGCGCCCTTGAAGGAGGTGGCTGGACTCATTTTATGAAAGTGTCTTGCCAGGGTGGAAATCCATCAAGCCTCAAACCGCCCAGGACCGTACTTGTGCCGGCTGCCGGGCAGGGCCTGCTAAGCACCCCCTCAGGGCAGAGGGTTGGGACGCTACTTTATTTTTGGTTGGCTTCCGCGCCTGACAAGGTTCCAAGGCTGGCTCACACCGCCGGGGGTTGCGTAAACATCCTTCCTCAGCTCCAAGTTGTTGGTTGATGCATCTTCATACCTGATACCTTACCTAGCAAAGTACGGATGTTCGTCTGTTGGACGTAAGGCACGCCGTGCCCGTGCGATTACGCTCTAGACAATCTCAACCGAGCTGCTGCTCTGCTGGGTGTCCGCTTGTCCCTGCCCCTGTCCCTGTTCCTGTGGCCTGTCCTCTCCCCATGTCCCGCCCACCTTCACCTCAGTGTCACTGTCAGGTCCGGGTAGGCATCGTATCGGCAAACTCCTCAAATATTATTCAACGTCCCCTCCTTCAAACCTCTCTACCTCACTTAATACACCGCCGCCGTCGCACCACCGCCTGTGCGCGACACCCACGCGCTTTCCCAACTACAGCTGCGCCCGTGTTGTTGTTTGCTCCTGCTCCTACCCCCCCTGCCATACTGCAGGTGGTGCTGGCTTGAGAGACAAGCACCAGATCAACTCATATGTTCATTCCTACGTGTGAAATACCCCGCCTGATCACATCTACCCTCTCGCTCCCGTCCTCCTCGCTCCCCCGAGCAAAATGCAGTCCATGCATAGACAATTCGGAAAGCTCATGAACAAGAGCCCTGGTGACAATGCCAAAATCGCCGCAATTCTTCATGACTACGAAGACGCAGACAATCTGCTGGGGAAGGTACTCTTGCCACCATGTTTTTCATATTCGTCACACTGACATACAAACGCCAACTGCCTTACAAAAACTTCATTGCCCTCCTCTTTGGCCACCCAGTCAACTAACGTCTTGTCACCGGGCTACAGATCATCGAAAATACCAAGCAGCTTCGTGACTCTTGGGTGGCTGTCGGAACTACTCAGTGGGCCATCGTCAAGGAATACGAAGGGTTGTACGATCCCATTGTCGGTGCTACCGAAGGTCATGGCCGACCTAGCATTGCTACCCCTCAACAGCAACTCGACCGAACTTTCAAGCTCCGTGAAGCTTACTCTGATCTCAAAGACGAGTTGATTGAAGAAGTCGCAGCCATCGACGCCCAAGTCATCCGTCCTGCTACCGAGGCCCGCGACTATCTGCAACCCATCCGGAAGACCATTAAGAAGCGTGAGAACAAGAGGCTTGATTATGAAAAGGCAGAGGACAAGGTGAAGAAGCTACAGAAGAAGACTGGAAGAACGCCCAAGGAGGATGCAGCGCTGTCCAAGGCAGAGTTCGACATGTCTTGTGCTTCGGAGGTGAGCTACTTCATGACCAAACTTGCACAGGCGATGTCACAACCGCTAATAATTCACTCTTGCAGGAGTTCAATGTCGCAGATACCCACCTTCGCGAAGCTCTCCCGCCCATTGTCGAAGCCACTTTCACATTGATCCCCCACCTTCTGGCATCCCATGTTTGCATACAAAACAGGCTTCTTGGCTTGTACTACACAGTACTGCACAATTACTGTGAGGACCACGATTTTCCGTCCCCACCGCCTCCAATGGAGCAAGTGGTTTCGACATGGTCCTCTGCGTTCATGCCCATTAGAAAGGAAGTAGAATCCATAAGCTGCATAGCCCACGGCAGGGCCTGGCGTCAACCCAACCCAACATCGTCAGCTCGCAGTCCTTACTCGCGGACCCCTTCAGGCATGACGTCGAGCGGCGAGGCCACCACCCCCACACCTCGAATTGTGCGAATTCCTTCATCTAATTCGGTTGGGCGGCCTGCGCCCCCTCGCGACCCGTCCCCTCAGCCGAGTCCCCAGCCAAGGAGCACAGGTGCAGCCCGTGTTCAGCTCGGCTTGCCAACTGACTTCACAACGGCCACAGCACTTGGAAGCCCTCAAGGTGCCTCTCGAGTATCACCGGCATACACGACTTCCAAATCAGAACACTTTGGTCACCAGTCAGGAATTTCGGCAGGCAATGGTAGCATCGCTGCAGGCAAGAAGAAACCACCGCCACCGCCGCCGGCTAAGCGTGTTCAGGTGCCCGATGATTTCGTAGTGGCACAGTATGATTTTGCCGGTGGTCCGGGCGACTTGAGTTTTAGGGAAGGGGATAGGATTAAAATTGTCAAGAAGACACAGACCGATCAAGATTGGTGGATTGGGGAACTTGGGGGAATTCAGGGCAGCTTTCCTGCCAACTACTGCAAGGCGGCTTGAGGGACTATGTCTTACGTTTCATGTCAAAACATGCCTACATGGTAGTTAAACGAAAACCCCAATAGCCATATTTCCTCCAATATCTTGTTGACTACCTTGAGAGAACTTGCGACTGCTGAGGCTGCGCGATGCATGTCATCTGGACAGATCGTGCCCGTTGGGTGTATCTGAAAAGGTCCTGGATGGCATCTACGGAATGATGTAGTAATCGCTCAACTGGCTTTCTTATTCCAAGGGTAGACTTACCTATCATATTGGTACCTAGATTTGTGTTCAGAGAACGACTACTTTTCCTGTGGCTATTATGATGCCTTACACCGCTCTGCTGTCGTCGCCGTTCTGAGACTACTATTGCCGTTGTTATCGTCGCCGTCATTCGTGATATGAGTATATGTACAGAGGTAACACATCAGGCACAGGAAATTTAGGACGTCTCCGTGTTTAACCAAATTGACCCTGCAACTAAGGGGATGAAGTGGTAGAGGGGCAAGCGCGAAGTCAACTCACACGTGGCTAGTGACAAGTTGAAACCCACGCACCTCGCATCTTGTGTTGTTTCAATATCTAAATACAATGCCCGTCTATCCTTTCTGTACAATATAACCAGCCACCAACTCCAGATGGGAATGTGCACAAGGGCACACTGCCCAAACATGATACGAATGAAGCAATATAGGCCACACCCGCGATGAAGACCAACTTGGTCTGATGCAAGCCCAGCTGTACCTAGCAACCATGAGGGTATCATAAACCATAAAACGATCGTGTCCGGCCACGCTATTCGCCTTTGACTTTTCCACTGTTTTTTCTCTTCCTTTCTTTTTTTGGCGACGCCATCTGCTCTTCCGGTCCGACGTGGACTTTTTGCCCTCCGATCGGCTGTTTGTCACTTAAAAAGCCTGAGGACCTGTCTCCACTGCCGGAGATGTCGCCCCTTCCCTACGAATGCGCTCCTCTTCTGCCCGCAGGACACGGGCAATTTCATCATCGCGGCCCCGATCCAAATAACCTACATCCTCGCCCTCGAGATTCATGGGCGTGACGGGACCAGGACTTCCAAGGGGCAAAAGTCTTGGAGAGATTGGTTTGTGAGAGCCGGTCGTTCCAATTTGGTGCAGGTTTGTCAAGGGTACCCCATTCAAAGTCACAGTGGAGCTAGAGGTTGCATTACTCTGGCTTGCCGCGCCACCCAGCACTTCGCTCGCAGCCAACCTCGCTTGCGCAATCATGTCTCGTTGGTATTGCTGAAGCTTGCGGCGGACCTCAGAATCTTGTCTCGAGGACCTGAAGCCCTCACGAGTCGGGATGTGGCCTTCAGATCTCGTGGATGATGCCCGAGTGGGAGGCGCAGATGGGCCTATTCTCGTCGGATCCTGGCTTCCTCGGCTCTCGTAGTTGGATGGATAATACTTGCCCATTGGCAGTGGAGTGTCGTGTATGCCGCTGGGTAGATACGAGGCGACGGGAGTATTGGAACGTGACGGATCGGATTCAAGGGCCATCGAGGGCGATAGGTGGGATGATGGCGCCATGAGTATGGGCAAAGGTGTGCCGTGAGGCTCGACGTGTGAGGAGGAATCGCGTGTCAGGCAGACAGGGCGGTGTCGGAGCGGACCGCCGTCGGCATGAAAAGGATGAGTACGATGGATTCGGGCTTTCGGATCTTCGTGCAGCGGAAAGTAGCCACTACGAACAAGCAATCAGTTGTTTTGGTCCTCATTTACACCCGTTCGATGGCCGGATTTCAGAATGGGCAAGGTGGTGTATGCACATACCCAGGAACGTCGCCGCGGGCAGACAAAGGTTCAGGCGGTGTGTGCGTAGGTGCTGAATTGATCTTCCGAGGGGAGTGCGGCAGCTCAATGGTAATTGGGCGGCTGCTGGTATATCTTATGGCTTGAAGGGATGCGAGATCAAGTTGGGAAGGCGCGGATCTTTCGGCTATTAAGTAATCGACAAGTTAGTCTTCCGCGGGGCAGGGAAACGTGGGATGTTGGATCGAATGGGGGCGAAAGGGAAAAAGAAAATTTAAATAAAATTGAAAAAAGAGGAAAGCATAATACTGCGTGAAGGGCAAAAAAACATGACGCAACGTTGAAGGGTCCCCAGAAGCCATGCGAGACAGACGAGAAGGATGTAGAAAAGGGCTTAGGCCCGGGGATGACCCGTCCATAGCGCAGAATGACCGCGAATGATGACGATGGGTGCAGGGT